TTACTGTCAGCGGCACAGGGTGTCCGGTCCGAATGCAAAAGTCGAGAGGAAAAAGTCGACGGGGGTAACAGTCAATCGGGATAGGAGTCGAATCAAAAACATCGAAACGACAAAAATTGAAAATAGATGTAAGTCGACAGGAATCAAAGCCGTAATCCGAAAAAGTCGGACAGCAAGAAGTCGACCGGAAAAAGCCAAACAAAACAAATGAAGACAAAAAGCTGAAAGGAAAGAGGTCGAATCTGAAAGAGCCAAAATACAAAAAGTCTAAAGGAATAAAAGTGGACTCGAAAATATCGAAGTAGAGTTGAGGGACTAACAGCCCGCAGGGATTAAAGAGCCAAAATAGCAGTCAGTCCAGTAGCATAATACAAAAATCAGCACGAAAAAATTACAACGGGACCAAAGCCGGCAGGAAGTCCATTACTAAGTAACAGGCCTTACCAAAAGCTTGTGATGACGCAATATTCAATGAAGTGCTGGCAATACAACGCATGTTTGCTCTACAACGTCATTAAACCGCACCTCTTGGCATGGATATCGAGGGTCGATAGTTGGGCATGGGAGCTGCGAACTCATATGGTCCAAACACATTAGTGTTTTTCCTTTGCAGTCTGGAGCAGAGCCGGTACGCCCCCCCCCCCCCCCCGCCCTCCCCCACGCTTGAAAGGAAGCGGGAGCCGAATGAGGGATAAACCCATTCATTGGTGTTTTGATGGTAGGATGCATAACTGGCACTCTACTCCTCTACCTCCCGCTTCCCCCCCCCCCCCCCCCCCCCCCACGGCACTTTGCGAAACCCACGCTCCTGGTCGAATAACGTAACAAGCTTACGGCCTTCCTTGCTAACATCCAGTACCATAGTTTTTTGTTTCGAGCGGGTCCAAAAACAATGCGGGTGTTTTAGGGGTTCATAGTACACGCGCCGGTTCAGCGCCGGCACCGTCGCACAACAGACGACGGCCGCTGTCCCGCGGCCGCCCTGCGTGCCCCGTTTCTCACCCTCTCCACCCACGCAGAGTCTGGATACCGGAGCCGCGTGCCGCCGCGAAGACAACGAGAGCCATATGACGTCGCCAAATAGTTACGACCGTTATTTGGCGTAGTCATTAGACCTTTGGGTAGCAGGT